AACTGGGAGCCTGTGAACACGGAGTGTACGGGCCTGTGAACTGGGAGCCTGTGAACGCGGAGTGTACGGGCCTGTGAACTGGGAGCCTGTGAACACGGAGTGTACGGGCCTGTGAACTGGGAGCCTGTGAACGCGGAGTGTATGGGCCTGTGAACACGGAGTGTACGGGCCTGTGAACTGGGAGCCTGTGAACGCGGAGTGTACGGGCCTGTGAACTGAGGGCCTGTGAACACGGAGTGTACGGGCCTGTGAACCCGGAGTGTACGGGCCTGTGAACTGGGAGCCTGTGAACACGGAGTGTACGGGCCTGTGAACTGGGAGCCTGTGAACACGGAGTGTACGGGCCTGTGAACACGGAGTGTACGGGCCTGTGAACTGAGGGCCTGTGAACACGGAGTGTACGGGCCTGTGAACACGGAGTGTACGGGCCTGTGAACTGGGAGCCTGTGAACACGGAGTGTATATGGGCCTGTGAACTGAGGGCCTGTGAACACGGAGTGTACGGGCCTGTGAACACGGAGTGTACGGGCCTGTGAACGCGGAGTGTACGGGCCTGTGAACTGGGAGCCTGTGAACGCGGAGTGTATGGGCCTGTGAACTGGGAGCCTGTGAACACGGAGTGTACAGGCCTGTGAACTGGGAGCCTGTGAACACGGAGTGTACGGGCCTGTGAACGCGGAGTGTACGGGCCTGTGAACTGGGAGCCTGTGAACGCGGAGTGTATGGGCCTGTGAACTGGGAGCCTGTGAACACGGAGTGTACGGGCCTGTGAACTGGGAGCCTGTGAACGCGGAGTGTACGGGCCTGTGAACCCGGAGTGTACGGGCCTGTGAACTGGGGGCCTGTGAACCCGGAGTGTATGGGCCTGTGAACTGGGGGCCTGTGAACCCGGAGTGTACGGGCCTGTGAACTGGGGGCCTGTGAACCCGGAGTGTATGGGCCTGTGAAATGGGGGCCTGTGAACCCGGAGTGTACGGGCCTGTGAACCCGGAGTGTACGGGCCTGTGAACCCGGAGTGTACAGGCCTGTGAACTGGGGGCCTGTGAACCCGGAGTGTACGAGCCTATGACCCGGGAGTGTACGGGCTTGTGACCCGGGAGTGTACGGGCCGCTTTGGAAATGAACTAAAACGAGCAAATTAGTCATTGTTCTGAGGGGCCCATTGTGAGTCCTACAAGACGATCCCACCATTAAAGTTGTTTCCCTCTGAATCCTATAGTCAATTAAGTCTAGGCCCATCGTCCATCCTTAAAATCTGTAACCTCCAGTGAGACACAGGTTTCTCAACAGTGCACTCTGAGCATTTGGGGCTGCACGGTTCTTTGTTGGGGGCGCTGTTCTGTGCATTGTAGCAGCACCCACCTCTGCCTGGCTTCTCCCCACCAGATGCTGGTAGCAGCCCCTCCCCCAGCTGTGGCATTGAACCGTGTTTCCAGACATTACCAAATGCCCCTAGAGGCAAACCTGCCACCCGCTGAGAAGCAGTGAGAGAGGGACGGGGTACCGGACGAGCTGCTCCGCGCCGCTGAACAGGAGCCGGGCTCCAGGCGCATACGCACCCTCTGGCTGGAACAGGACGATTAAGGAAGCCGAGATACGGAGATGGAAAACGGCCTTTGCTTCAACTGGCCGTCCTCTATTGTCACTGCCGGGCAAGGTGACGATGGCAGAGCTGGAATGGGCTGGACCCGCTCAAGCACAGCCTTGGGCAAACCTCGAGCTGGGTCACCATCAGCAGCTGGCTCTGCAGGCAAAGCCAGAGCCTCAAGCCAGAAAATGGCCATTTCCGGGAAAGTTGTGAACACTGTGCTTATGTACTGATGGCCCAGCCCCTCATTTGTACTGTCACCATGGTTCTGTCACTGTGTAATAGGAAGTTGGGTTAGGAACCAGAAAGACAACCGAATAGGAGTTGGTACAATCACAGGGTTACTGAGACCCTGCTTTATGGTTGCTGGTGTCTGCTGGGGGTGCAGAGTCACTTCGAGGCAGAGGCTGAAATGCCCTTTCCAACACACACATGCACACACACACATGTGCATACACACCTCACACATGCACGCACACACATGCACACCCACACACATGTGCGCACACACCTCACACATGCACACCCACACACATGTGCATACACACCTCACACATGCACACACACCCCCGCGCGCGTACACACATGCACATGCATGCACATGTGCGTGCATAGACCTGTATACACATGCACATGCATGTGCCCTGCACACACAAATGCACATATGCAGGGGCACGCACACGTGTACAAATGCAAACTCAGTTAAATAGACAAGATCATTGCTCAAGTCCTGACTGTGGAACGAGACTGAGCCCTGCAGACAAGGGGCAGGGTGCTAACAAGTGAGCAAAGCAGCCTGGTCCCTTAATGGAGTCGGGTGGTGGAGGGCAGGTAGATTTGTCCCTGGGCTGAGTACTGCAGGATTACTACCAGTCTCTTCCAGTTAAAAAGAAAATGCAATTGCCTTGGCTGGTTTGGCTCAACAGTCAGAGCAACAGCCTGCGGACCAAAGAGTCATGGGTTCGATTCCAGGCAAGAGCACGTGCCTTGTCCTCCGGTGAGGATTGAAAAAAAAAATTCACTCAAATACCAGCTACTCATCCTCATATTAAGAAATACCACAGAACTTATACACATGTGTGCATGACCCATGGACATGGACAACAAAGCTAGGGATGGGGCAGGGGTGGGGTGGGGTGGGGAGGGGGGTGCCAATGGGGTAAAAAAGGAGAAACATCTGTAACAAAAAATAAATAATGCACTCAGAGGTCAATATGGAAAAAAAAAGAAATAATATTTTTAGAGCTACTTCAGCTCATTGAATGTTTAGCACGTGCGTGGTACCACGTAAGCCCAGGCTATGGCTCTTTGTGTGTCCATATGCTTCTGTCACACACGATTCCGTGTGTTTTGCAGGGTCCAGCCCTGCCCTGTCCCCTGCATAACCCTATAACTGTCACAGCAGTGTCCCTGCACTGCTGTGGCAAGACCAGAGGACCTGCTCGAGTGGGGACAGGGTGGTGGCTGTTGTAGACCCATGAAGGCCAACCTTGACGGACTCAGATGTAACACTTTGTCCACTGCAGCTGTTGGGCGAAGGGGACCGGACTCAGAGTCTCAAAAAGACAAGCTCCAAACTAGAAATGTGCTGCAGGTTCCCGAGACCCCCAACCTCCTCCCCAGCTTGTCACACCCCTCTGCCTTCCTCCCCTTCATTCTCCTGAGGATAAAAGGCAGGTATGAGACACCTCACTTTTGGGATGCCGGTACCTTCAAGGTACGGGGGCCAGTAGCCCCAGTTTAGTGGAAATCTACTTCAGGCTTTGTTTGCTACCCTGACGATCATTTTACTGGAACAGCATCGAGTGCCTCAGGGCATCGTTTTTCTCTGAAAGTGGAACCGACCAGAACAGCCAGCACTTTCTCCAGGCTCCCGTGGGACTGGCTCCTCCCCCAGGACAAGCCAGCAGCGAGTGGCCGCCCTGCCCTGTCTGTGCTTGTCGCTGAGCGGGCGTGGGCTGGGCCGCGAGCTCCTGCCTTCCTGCTGTCTGCAGAGGCTGCTGGGTCTGGGCAGGTGCCTTCATCTGCCTGTTTTCTCTCGCCTCCGTGCGGCATGGCGCCTCTGATTCTTCCCAGAATAAGCCTGCCCGTTTCCCACCTAGCTCTCCCTCGGCAGTGCTGAGCTCGATCTGATGACAGGAGGGCTCGGGGGTCTGGTGAGCGCACAGAGCGCGCTGGGCACAGCCTGCTGGGCCGGGCCCTGCTGCCCTGTAGCCCTCCGGTCACCCCTCTGCTGCCTCACAGGCTGTCCCTGCGCTCACAGCCCAGCAGTCTTTGCTCCCCGAGGGAGGCCGCTCCTACAGCTCCTTCTGGGAGGTTCCGGGCTCCTCCGGCCGCAGCTCCCAAGCCTACCTGCCAGACCAGTCTGCTCCAACCGGAAGCCTCGGCATCTCGCCCAAGGGAGTTCTAGACACAAATTAATGACAGTGGTACATTTCAGAGCCAAATGCCAACATCACCGTCAGGGGAACTATTTCCCTTCCACGGGCCAGCGATGTGCTGCCCGGAAGCAGAAGTCACGCTCGGTGAGCCAGCTCGTTGACACCCCGTGAGTGGTCGTCCGGAGACCCCCACACACTTCCTGCTCGCTCTCTCCCACCTCCACTTTATGGGGGGCCCTGTCTGGTCCGCCCAGGACCATCTCTCAGGGATGTCAGAGATGCCGGAGGCCACTGGGGTCCAGTCTCTTACAGCAAATAAAGGAGAAGGAGGATGAGTTCGCTTCCAAACCCAGATTCCCATGTTCACCCAAAATGTCAAGGACACAGGACCTGGAAGAGTTCCCTGAGTGACCCCCACGTTCCCCATCCTGGCAGCTCGCAGTGGGGTGCAGGAAATGGATGCAAAGAAGGAAAACATAGGAACGTAGAACCTCGAAACCCTGCAGAACCCTCTGGCCGTTCATTCCCATCCTCTCTCCATGCTTCTCCCACTAGGGGTTTTAAGAAATATGGACTGGAAAATGGATGTTCTCTGCGTCTAACTGATCCATCTGAAGTTTTATTTGGTTTCACTTTCTCTCCATACTGTAGGATCCAATTTCTGTGATTAGTAACACAGCCCGAAAGTGGTACCCAGAAAGCCGGGGGTGAGCGGGTGGGGTGCTGCAGTCAGCGGCCCGGCCACGGCCGGCCAGTCCCGACCAGGATCTGAGAGGCCACATATGTTGGTGGCTCCTGAGATTACTGACAACCATCCCACCAGCTGTCACGAGGGTCCTGGCAGCTGTGTTGGGTGTGGGGTGCAGGAGGGGGGTGTCCCTGGCCGTCTTCTTCCTGCCGGATCAGCCTAAAGATATCAAGTATCGAGATCACTCGTGACGCGACAGACGAGGGTCTCAGCCCGCGCTCCGGGTGACGGACGGAGGCCACCTGCTCAGGTGGCCGAGCGGTGACGGGACCTTGTTTTGCAGCCTGGACTCCTTCCTGCACGGGCTCCACGCCCTCTTCAAAGGCGACTTCAGGATCGCGGCGCGGGACGAGTGGGTGTTCGCAGACATGGACCTGCTCCACAAAGTCGTCGCTCCCGCCATCAGGATGTCCCTCAAGCTCCACCAGGTAAACATCCGTTTTCTAAAAGTATCAGCCTGAAACATTTCGAAGAAAAATCAGCTTGGAAAAGAGTGGTCCGCTTCCTTGGCATGAGTGGGTTTATTACCTCGGCGGCCAAGCATGGGGGCCGTCTGGGTATTCTTGACGTTGGTCGGTGGCAGTTTGCCCCCCTCCCCAGGTTAGGAGGTGGTAACATGCGAGGACAGGAGAGGGGAGTTGGCTCAGAAAAGGACATATCGGAAGTGCCCACACTGTACTGAGAAGTCCCAGGAACTTAAGCCACACTGCTCTTTCCCTGGGCACAGCCCAGCGGTCAGGGCAATGCCGGGGCACCCTCCCCCAGGTCAGGGCTCGAGGAGGGCGGGAGAGGGAGAGGTGGAGGAGGGCTGAGCCCCCGCAGGGCACAGGCCCGTCCCGTCTGCGCACGTGTCCCAGGCTCAGCCCTCGGGCCCTCGCCTCTCCCCAGGACCAGTTCACGTGCCCCGATGAGTATGAGGACCCCCCGGTGCTCTTCGAGGCCATCCAGTCCTGTGAGAGGAAAGTGGTCATCTGCCACGAGGGCGACCCGGCCTGGAGGGGCGCGGTGCTGTCCAACAAGGAGGAGCTGCTCACCCTGCGGCACGTGGTGGACGAGGGCACCGACGAGTACAAGGTCATCATGCTCCACAGAAGCTTCCTGAGCTTCAAGGTGATCAAGGTACCGTGGCCGTGCCCAGGCTGTCCCGGGAGGGGCACCGCCTCGGCCCGCGCCTCTGTTCGGCCAGGCGGTCCGGGCACCTCCCCCAGACCGCATGCAGGTGAGGGCTTCGGAAGGCCCACGTCCGCTCATTTTTAAGGACTTTCTAGTTTTCGAAATTTCCAGACCTTTCTCCAATAACCTGTTCCCGGGCCCAGAACTTCCTTCCCAGCGACTCCGAAACCTCTGGGCTGACGCGAGCTCGGCCCTCCTCCGGCTCGCTGTGCAGGGCGGGCCTGCCCCCTGCTTGGCCCCGAGCCATCCAGACCCGCGCTGCGCCTGCACCTGGACTGACCCGCGGGCGAACACGCGCGTCTGTCCCCGCCCCTGCAGGTCAACAAAGAGTGCGTCCGAGGCCTCTGGGCCGGGCAGCAGCAGGAGCTCATCTTCCTCCGCAACCGCAACCCCGAGCGCGGCAGCATCCAGAACAACAAGCAGGTGCTGCGGAACCTCATCAATTCCTCCTGCGACCAGCCCCTGGGGTACCCCATGTACGTCTCCCCGCTCACCACGTCCTACCTGGGGACCCACAGGCAGCTGAAGAACGTCTGGTGTGGCCCGGTCTCTTTGGACAGCATCAGAGCGTGGTTCCGAACCAAGTGGTCCAGGTGGGTCTCCAGCCGGGCCGTCTGCAGGGCGGAGGGCTGCCACGGGCGGGCTCTGGGCTTGCTCTTCACCTGACTGCAGCTGCCGCCCCTCGGGCGCCTAGCCGGCCCGGTCCAGCAAGCAGTTTCAGGGGGTGACGGTGGGAACCTCGGCCAGGTGCGCGCCGCTTCCCTCACCCCCCGGCCGAGCACCCCCGGCGTCCGCACAGCTGCGGAGGTTCTGGGTCGTTGGGTCTGTCCAGGGAGCCGGCTGGACCTCCCCCAGCTCTCACCCCTCAGGCATAGCCTTCGTCCCTCTCTCGTCTGGTCTCTGGTTAGCTGGACTGAACTCTAGAAGGTTCGCCTGGAGTGCGCAGCTTCTCAGGCCTCAGGGCTGAGGTTCTCATGGAGACCAGAGCTGCCTCCTCCTGCTTAGACATTGAGGCTTGGGGACCAGGGACTCTCCTCCTGCAGCGGGACTCCACCTGCTTAGGCCTGGGTGGGGGCACTGGGGGCATTGGAACGTCCTGGAGGGAGTCCTGGCCTCTCTCCGTCACAGGATGCGGAAGGACTGCAACGCTGGCCAGCGCGGTGGCAACATTGAGGACGTGGATGGAGGGGGGGCCCCGCCTGCGGGCAGCGGCAGTGCCCCAAGTGGGGACAGCCAGGAGAGCAGCACGGAGCAGCCCAGAAAAGAGGGGAGCCACCAGTGGTCGCCCCGGGAAGGGACACGGAGCACAGGTGGGTGCCGCGGGCGGCCGGGTGCTGACAAGGGCTCAGGTGGTCGCCCCGGGAAGGGACACGGAGCACAGTGGGTGCCACGGGTGGCCGGGTGCTGACAAGGGCTCCGGTGGCCCCGGGACCACATCGGGCTCCTGCTGTCGTGCTGACCTCTGGAAATCAGTCCTGGGACGAAGGATGCCCAAGTGCACTGAACCATGTAGGTTTCGTACAGAAGAAGCTCTCTGTCTGTCTGGTGTAGCTTTTATCCTTCCTCCATCTGTCTGTCCACTACCTTGGGCAGCCTGCCATCTGTCTGTCCGGCCGGTAGGCATCACCCCCCTCCTCACCTCCACGCGGCGCCTGTGCCAGCAGGTGTAGCTCTTGACCCCGCCCCCGCCGCTCGCCGGGCTGTCTGCGGACAGGCCTGCCGCCCTGTGCTCCCGTCCCTACCTCTCGCCTTCCTCCACTCACCCGACGTCTCAGAGACCAGGAAAGGGGGGAAGATGGGGTCCGCACACGGGACTGAGGGGTGCCTCGTCCACGTGGGCTGTGTTGGAAGTTAGTCCCACTGAGACAGGCCTGCTGGGTCAGCGTAACCGGACGGCTGAGGTTCCCCTACCCGCCCTGAGGGCTCCCGGAGAGGCAGGTGCTGCGCCAGGTTCCGCCCGCATGCCGGGCATGGCTCGCCCGTGGTTTCATGGCTTCATCTGGCCTCAGCTCTTCCTCACCACCCAGAAGCGTTCACGAGATGCCTCTACCCACAGGCGGCAACAGGGAGCCAGCGCGGGGCAGTGCTGGCCTCCGGGAGAGCCCACCAGGCGGGGGTCTGACTGCGACAGGAAGGATCTGTATGAACACGGGCGGCGTGGTGGGCAGGTAGACAATAGATGACAGACAGGGAGAGAGACACTGATAGCACGGCAGGTAGGTAGGTGGAGATGGACAGAGAAATGATTAGATAAACAGAGACAGACAGATGACAGGAAGGGAGGGAGGAAGGGAGGGAGGAAGGAAACAGGTAGGAAGAGCGAGCGAGCTGGATAGGTAAATGAGCAAAGTAGCTGAGTTAGCTGCTGGGGAAAAGGGTGCACTGCCCGCCCCTGGGCAGAGTGTCCGCCCAGCCAGAGGCCTCTGCGTGTGGCGGGTGCTCAGGCTGGGTCTCATGGCTCAGTTAACAGTGGTTATCGCACAAAAACCACGTTTCAAAACCACGAGTGGCTTCCAGATGGAAGTGCAGGTGGTTCCGCGAGCAGCAGCGCCTGGGTGCTGGGTGCTGGGTGCTGGGCCCTGGGCCTGGGCCTGTCCGGCCGCGGTCTTGTCGGACCGAGCGAGGCTGGGGCAGGCGGTCCGGAGGGCTCGGCTGTGAGAGCTGGAGACGTCTTGCTAGAGCAGCCGAGGAGCAGGACAGGCTCGTCCCCTTCCGAGGAGCAGGACAGCTCACAGAAGGAAAGCTCTTCCCTCTCCTCCGAATCCGGACGCGGCAGGGGGTGTCCCTCCACTGACAGCCGAGGCCTCTGGCCCAGAGCGGCGCAGGCTGGTGGCAGATGCCAGAGCGGGACCTTCCAGAGCCCAAACCACCGTTTACTTCCCATTACTGCCTCTGAGAACTGCTCCCTGCAAGGGCACCGCTCGCTGCCGCGCCGCCGAGGGGACGACCCGCCTGGCGACAGGCTGAGGCCGGTGTCGCTCTGGTGGGGACTTTGGAAGCCCCTCCGCCATGTCCCGACGCTCGATGTGCCAAACACCCAGCCGAGCATCACGTACAAAGTCCCCTCGTCTCCCGTGACTCACAGACGGCTCCTTCCTACTGCGCCTGCAGCTGGAGGCACCGGCTCACGACAGGCAGCCCCGAATCACCCACTAGGCAGTGGCTCATCTGGGATTTGGACCCAGGCAGGAGGAGCCCGGAACCTGTGGTCCACCACCGTCCACGTCCCTGTCCTGGACGCTGCCTTGCCTCACCAAGAGCCACCCTTGTCCCCGAGCTGGGAATGAGCGGGAGAGCGTCTGCAGCTGGCGGTGTCCCTACCCGCCTGACTGCGTCCTGTCCCCTGCCTGGCAAGGGCGCCTGTGCCAGCGGGTCCTCCTCTGCCCGCAGCAGGGAAAGCTGATGCCAGGACTCCTCAAACAGCCGGGTTCCATCCGGTGCCTGCTGTGGGCGGGGGGGGGAGGGGACAAGGGCAGCCACAGGCCCCCCCTTGCTCAACACGCCGACTGGCCCCTGGGAAGAAGGCACCGCCCTCGGGGACGTATCCGGAAACTGGCTGCCATGTGCAGAGGGTGAGAGAGCCGGTGGGGGGCGGGGGGTGGACTGAGGCCGCCAGCCTGCCACGCCGGACAGAGGAGGGACCTGCACACTCTCTGTAGGTTCCTGCAGCCCTCACCCCTGCCCGGCACACACCTCTTCCCACACCAAGGTCACAGGGACGTCCTGTCACAGGCCCTCACCCCTGCCCGGCACACACCTCTTCCCACACCAAGGTCACAGGGACGTCCTGTCACAGGCCCTCACCCCTGCCCGGCACACACCTCTTCCCACACCAAGGTCACAGGGACGTCCTGTCACAGGCCCTCACCCCTGCCCGGCACACACCTCTTCCCACACCGAGGTCACAGGGACGTCCTGTCACAGGCCCTCACCCCTGCCCGGCACACACCTCTTCCCACACCGAGGTCACAGGGACGTCCTGTCACAGGCCCTCACCCCTGCCCGGCACACACCTCTTCCCACACCGAGGTCACAGGGACGTCCTGTCACATAATTCTATTCAGCTCATTCTGATTAGGAACAGAGGTGGCCCCAGAAAGTTTGGGGTGCGTGCCGGGCTTCTTAGCCTTGGCCATTAGAATCGTTAGGGAAGCTTAAAAAAATGCTTTGATCTCGAGGCTGAGACACTCGGGGGCAGAGCTGGGAAGGTGACTCCCCCGTTGATGCAGCTGTGCAGGGTGGTCCCCCATGTCCCTTACTTGTCAGTGTGCTGTATGCACAGACCAGCACTGATGCTGTCACCCAGAGGCTGGGCGAGGGTGCACAGGACCACGGCTGGCAGCAGCGAGGGCGGGCCTGCTGAGGGCCTGCGTGTGGGAGTCCCGGGCCGGACGGGGGACCCGGCTCTGGGCTGGGCACCGCCAGGAGCAGGGACCGCGCAGTTCTGAAGGATGACTGAGCCAAATGGTCAGAACGGGCTTGTTTTACTCATGGTGCCCAAGCCCTAATTCCCACAACTGGGGTCCCAACTACTCCCTCCCGCGGTCCCTGCCTCAGTTCCCAGCCCAGCTCTTGTCAGCCTCTCTCAAAGGACGAGTCACAGCTGGCGCAGGACCCCTGGACGGGGCGGCCGCTCCCTGCGGGCTGAGGGAGCTGGTGACTGACCTGAGCCCAGTGGGGAGGAGTCTCTGCCTGCTCTGGGTGAGGCCTGGCACACAGCCCCTCAGACACCACCCAAAGGCGAGGAGCCAGGATGATGACCGAGGAGGGTCATTTGCGGCGTTGCAACCAGGTCTAAGGAGGATTTCCCTGGAGACTCACAATTTTATAATAAAGTAACTGGCAAAATTAAACTGTAGAACAGTGATCCTGGGTAGCACAGAAGCGTTTAGTATGGTTTGCTCAGTTGTTCCATTTGCAAAATTAAAAGAAAATAAAGACCACCAGCAACAAAAGGCAACAGAAACATCTGCAGCAAGGAGGTGGGGGGAGGCGCCTCACCCCGCACAGAACAGACGTGGACGTCCCCGTCACAGGGGCCTCGTCCCTTCCGGGAACTCGCTGGGACGTGCTCCCAGTGCGGGTGGCCCCCGGCGTCAGCGTCACGGACTTGCGGTGACTGCCGAGCATCCTGGGCAGCAGTCAGCGCCGCGGCATAAATCACGAGCAGATGTCTGGCCTCGACTCTCATCACCGTCTCCTCCTCAGGTCTCCCTCTTCGTCCTCTATGACATTAACTGCTCAGCTGGGCCCATTCATGTGGGTCTGGCCCGGGTGATCCCCACTCCAGGGGCATCTCACACTCATCCCAGGCCCGCGGGGGCGCACAGCCCTGTGGGGAGCACCCCGTTTTCTCAGCAGCTGGCCGGAGCGAGCCAGGCGGGAACACCGGTCTCTGGAAACGGTACCAGTGTCCCCGTGGCCACACAGCACTAAGGCCACCATGAGGCCAAAGGCCGTCCCAGCCAGTAAGCCGATGTGGGCAGGAGTGCGGCTGGGGGGCCCCTGGGCTCTCCATGTCAACATCGGTTCCCTCAGGAGCTTTCTGAAAAGCTAGGCCTCTTCTCGGGGTTCTCCTGGCGACATGCATACGTATTTAGAGTCACCAGGCACATGGTTAGTGATTTGGGCATGTGAGCGAGGTGCAAGGTAAGAAACGTCTATGCGTCTTCTGGGACCTGCCCTCTGCCCTCTGCCCTCTGCCCTCTGCCCGACTGACTGAAGGCCCGATTGTGGCAGCATCAGGAGACACCGAAGGCCATCGGCAGAACTGTGATGTCGCTGGCTGCTCCCTTCACAATATTTTAAAATTAGACCCTGGTAGTAACTGATGGTTAAGTGAAGTAATAGCGTCCAAGGGGGCCCAGCTCCCCTGGCTGCTGGGACCAGAGCTCAGCGGCAGGCACCAGACGTGGACGGGGCCAGACTCCGTGGTCGGGTCAGGGGAGGCCGGGCCTGGCCGGCGACGCTGCCCATGCCGGGGGCCTGCCAGGGCCCCTCTTAAAGACCCGGACCTTTAGGGGAAGCTTTTCTACAAAACAAAGGCCAAGCATGTGGCTCAACCCTTTATTTTCCCATTATTTTTGCATTTATCTTCAGATAGAGCAGGAGGGAGAGAGGGAAGAAGCGTGAGAAACATCGACGTGAGAGAGACACATTGGCTGCCACCTGCACGACACCAACCAGGGCCGGGGACGAACTGCAACCGAGGTGCGTGCCCTTAGCGGGAACCGAACCCTCGTCTCTCTGGTCTGCGGGCCAACGCTCTAACCGCTGAGTCAAACTGGCCAGGGCTATTTTCCCTTTTATTAAGGCAACTAACAGTGACAACATCGTGCAGGTGTTCCCTTCGTCACTGCTCACGGGATGAGCCCTGGAGCCCGGGCCCTGAGCAGGAACAAACCAGGATTAGCTGGCGGAGGTGCTATACTGCTGGCGTCCGGGTTTCTCGGGGCCAGGGCTCCCAGAACGCGATTTCAGTGTCGAAGCCAGGAAAGTCCTGGGCAGGTGGGACGGGACTCACCCTGGCTGCCCCACCCCACCCCGCCTCCCGGGGCTCTCAAGGCCTCGGTGGAGACCTCAGGGGGGCTTCCGGCTCGTAGCCCAGCCTTGGAGGCCAGGGCAGAGCCGCCCAAGCCCCTGTGCTAACACTGATGTTGGTGACCACCGGCAATGCCAACCTGTTCTTTCTTTCAAAGGCAGGAGGAAGGGCAGGAGTCAGTCTGTCCAGGCGCACGGGGCATTAAGCCAAAGGCCACCCACCTTGAGCTCGTCCGGCCCGCTCTTAGAAAGCCAGCAGCCCTTCCTGCAGACGTCCGCGTCGGCCCACGGGCTGGCCCCGAGGCTGTCGGGCAGCCAGCTCTCCTTACACAGCTCAGCTGTGTCCCTGCACTCTCGGCCCGCCCCGGTCACCACCGCCGGCCACCTGAGTGTCCGCGAGCGGGCCGAGGCACTGATCCGGTCCAGCCTGGGCTCGTCCAGCAGCTCCACCCTCAGCTTCCTCTTCGGCAAGAGGAGCTTCTCCAGTGCCCTGGTCATCTCTGGGCTCTCTGCCGCGGAGGGGAGCAACACCAGTGACACCCAGTCGTCCAGCAGCGTCAACATCGTGCTGGGCCCCTCGGCCCGGGCTGCCAGCCAGGTCACACGGGTAAGGGCTGGGCAGGGCAGGTGTGCGGGATCCCGGCCTGATGGCCCCATCCGGCTGCCAGCAGAGCCCCCCTTAGGGACAGACAACAGTGATTAGGAAGGAGATGGTCTGGCCGCGCACTGGGGCCGACCACGTGTGCAGCACACGTCCTGTAGGTAGAACACGCAGGCAGCACTGCAGGAGCCCAGCAGGGCCACACCCTGAGCGGCACCAGGACGTGGGGTGGTGTCCCTCACCCAGCAGCGGCACCTGCTGCTGTCCCTCTCACGCCACTCTCCGAGACACAGCTCAGGACGCCCGCACCGCAGTCCGTCGTCACCCCTGCTGTCCACAGTCACCCCTGCTGTCCACAGTCACCCCTCCTGTCCACAGTCACAGTTACCCCTCCTGTCCATAGTCACCCCTCCTGTCCACAGTCACAGTCACCCCTCCTGTCCACAGTCACCCCTCCTGTCCACAGTCACAGTCACCCCTCCTGTCCACAGTCACAGTCACCCCTCCTGTCCACAGGCGTCATCTTAGCCGCCAGGAGGGCTGCCCGCTGCCTGCACGCAGACACTAGAGTCCTGGGGCCTCCACCCAAACAAGCGGCTACTTGCAGGCTCCAGGCTGGTGAGATGAGTCCCACCCCAGCTGTTCTGCACTGGGGCAGGGAGGGCACGTAGGGGGCCTCAGGGCACGCGTGGGCGTCAGTGGAGACTTCGCCCTGCCCCGTGCCGTCGCTGGGAGTGGGCGAGGGCCCTCCCGTCCTCTCCTCCCGGGCCCAGGCCCTCCGGGCAGACGCCACCCACAGTGGAGGCCACGGCAGCGGCCTCGCCACCCAGGAAGCTGCCGGGCACGAACCGCCTGGGGAAGGGCCGTGGGCCAGCAACGCCGGGCCTCCCTCCTCTCAGGGTGGGGCCGATGGGCTCCCTGGGGACCCGGGCACACCGGCCAGGAGCAAGGAGACCGGTTACTTCAGGACTGTAACTAAATGTAATGAGAACACCAAACGTATAAAGAAGCTTCCCTTTTTTTCATTTTCTCAATAAAAATGCACAGACTGTCACACCTTTCTCTCACCCCCCATCTGTGCTTAAGACACAATCTGTGGTGTAGTCCAGGGGTGCCGGCAGGTTCCCTTCCCTGTCCCCGAGGACCACCGATCCCTGGACCGTCTGCGTCGGGGGAAGGCGGGCACAGCCTTGTGACGGGCCAGGTGTCTGTGAAGAGACAGCGACCGAAACCCGGGAGTCCGTGCAGGCAGATGACCTTCACCCAAGGTCATCTCTTTCCAGCTTGTCCAGACTACCTGAGAGCAGGTCCCCACGTTAGAGGCACCTCCGCACCCCCGGTCACGTCCTCCGTCCTTCCTCCAGGGCCACCCTTGGGCGCCCTGCAGCCCTGGTTAGCAGGCCAGGTGGGCAGCGGCCGGGCGGGGCCTGAAGTGGGCACACCTGTTTGCTAAGCATTTGCTTCTCCTTCTCTCCCGAAGCATTTCTCCGAGCCGTGTGAACCCACCGAAGCCAGCGAACAGGGGCAGCTTCGCGGCCGCCGTCTGGCTGAGGGCCTGGGCACGGCCTGCAGGAGGGCCAGCCAGGAGGACGTGGGCCTGGACGACACGGCTTCCCAGCAGAGCGCCTCGGACGAGTAGGAAGGCGGGAGGGCCTGCGGCGAGAGTGAGCTCCCACGCTCACCTTCCTTTCCCTCCCTCCTGCTCCCTAAACTAAAAGAGCAAATACTGTCGTCCACGTGAGGCCCACTCTGAGGATAAATGAGAGCTGTTGTAGGAAACTGAATAACTTCATCTCAGGTTCTTGAAGAACATCTCACGTGATGAAAACAATTGAACAGCAGCCTCCCACCCGCTGCTCCAGGGCGGGGCAGGGCGGCACTTTCCAGAATGGGCTCAGACAAACGCAGCATCACCTGCAAACCCCTGGAGAGACGAGTCTCTGCCCTGAGGGCAGTAAGACAGCCGCAGGTCACATAACTGCCCCCGTCCACTCGTCCCCACGGAAAAGCAATGAGCACCGCACGCATCGCACCGTCCGCGGGCCAAGGGCGCCAAGGTTACGTCCACCGTAGACAATGTTGCTGCTTCATAGTATTTACACCGATGTTGGGTTCGTATAACCCTAACTGCAGGCAACGCTGACTGCATGCAGGCATGTCCACAGCACCGTGACAGCCCACGGCACCCAGTGGTGAGTGTGGACGTCCGGTCCCGGCGGGGTCAGATGCTGGCCGGGAGGCGCGCGGTGCCCCACAGCGTCAGAGCGGCCTCCCACAGCAGCCAGGCCGGGCCTTCACAGGACAGACGTGCCGTTTCCCCAGCCCGAGTCCCCAGGGTCACGGAACACCTGTACACGCCTTTGTTTTCGGAATTAAAGGGTTTACAGTTATTCCTGTTCCCAGTTCTGTGTGTTCTGCTGAAACTTGTCATTTAAGAGGCGAACTCTTCCTGTGAGAGTGGTGTGTGGGCGGATTCTGTGCCTCCCCCGTCTGGTTTCCCAGTGGGAGGAGCTGCCTGCTGCCTCCGGCTGCCAGGACGGGGGAGGCGGACCGTCCGCGGGACAGCGTCACTGCCCCAGTAAGCAGAGACAGCAGTTAGAGTAACTGGAAAGTCACCCTTTCTTCACGGTCTCTAGGACTAGGCGGTCTGGGGAGGGTGACACTCAGACGTCCTCGCCCTTCGGGGCAGATGGCACTGCTCTCTGAGACGCTGGGGAGGCCACCTCCGCAGCCGGCTGAGCTCCCGAGACCCGCTCGGGCAGCTGCACAGCCAGGGCCCAAGGTCCAAATGGCAGGCCCTGGGCCGTGAGTGTGGCCTCCCGGGCAGTGGTCTCCACCGCAGAGAAAAATGCTGGCCCACTCCTCGGGCATCCAGGAGGAGGAGCCTTAGCCACAGGGAGGGAGACCGGAAAGCCCTGGAGAGCAGGTGCCGGGCAGGGCGGGCGAGGAGAGCCCACAGGCCCTGCCTCCTGCCCCGCGGGTTCCTGAGCCCCCCCCCAGTCCATCTTACCTGGGCCTCCGGGCCCCTTCGGGGAGGCAGGGGGAGAAGGAACTTGATCAGCAACAGCAGACAGAACTGAACTGCACCTCTGAGAGCAGACCCAGCGCAGACCCCTCCACGGTACACGTGGGGCGCGCGCCCTGGGACTCACTCCACCCCTCACAGCTGGCAAGGGCACAGTCTCTCTTCAAAAAGTGGGACCAGCCCTGGCCGGTTTGGCTCAGCTGTTAGAGTGTCGGCCTGCAGTCCAGAGAGACCGGGGTTCAGTTCCCGCTAAAGGCATGTACCTCGGTTGAAGTTTGTCCCCGGCCCTGGTTGGTCGTGCGGGTGGCAGCCACTCGATGTGTCCCTTTCACATCGATATTTCTCTCTCTCTCTCTCTCCCTCCCACTCTATCTGAACAAAAAATGGAAAAATGTCCTCGGGTGAGGATAAAAAACAAAACAAAAAAGTGGGACCAACTTTTATATTTACAACTCATGAACTTGTTAATCTGGTCTTGGGCCAGGCATCTGTTTATCAGAGTAGTCTTTGCAAAATACTGTTTAGCCCCCATTTGAAAGCGATCCTAAAGTGACATCTTTTTAAAAATGCACCTTTGTTGTCGAGCGCATTACGATGTCCCCCGTTTCACCCCACTGCCCTTCCACCCTGTCCCCGCCCTGCCTCCGCTGCACTGTGTCCCAGGGCTGTGCACACGTGCACACGAGTTCTTTGGTTAATCTCTTCCTGCCCCACCCCCCCACCCGAAAGTGACATTTCTTGCTGGGAACATTCAAACATTCTGCCAGCATACAGCTAAAGAGTAATTTTGTGCATGTGCACGGGGAACAGAATTGTCCCCTCTGAGGATGGGAAGCAGCCTGTCGTGCTTGGCTTCACACCAAGCGTGTGGCTTTCTGGCATCTGACTCTAGGTTTTTCACTGTGTGTCGAAACCGTCTGTGTCTGGCAAGTACTTTTCTAAAATCACTCGATGCTCCATCTCTTTGCCCATCAAATGTGCAACGCGATCTGTGGCGCAGCCCTCCCTTCTCGAGCCCCCCGCGTCCCCGCTGAGCCCGAGTCACGGAGCTTCGGGGACACGAGCATCTGCCATCAGCACACACACACGCCACCTCCCCAGACAGACTTCTGTGAACACGGGGACAGGAAGAGAACAGCGGGGCGGGGACCGTCCACTGTTCTGAGCCCCCCCCCCCCCCCCCCGTGGACGTGAGGGCTGGGAAGCAGGGAGCGACGGGACTGGCAGCTGGGCTGGGGACCTCTTCCTGGCAACCAGGGTAACCAGATTACAGTCTATGAGTTTAAGACTGTCCACCTCCCTCCACGTGCTTACGTCTTTTTTAAAAAATTTTTATTTTTTTAGAGAGAGAGGAAGGAAGAGAGAAATAGTAACATTGATGAGAGAGAACATCGACTGGCCGCCTCCCGCATGCCCCCCACTGGGGATCAGGCCCATAACCTGGGCATGTGCCCCTACCGGGAACCGAACTGGCCACCCCTTGGTGCATGGGTAGACACTCAACCACTGAGCCACACCAGCCGGGCCACGTGCTTCCTCGCCCCGCCAGGCCTCTCTCTGACCCACCACCGCCTGCTCTACACGTCAGCAGATGATGGCCTCGGTCTGGACGTGAGTGTGTCCCTCCGTCTGTGCCCACTGCTCTCAGGACCCCTGGTCCCACATGCTCCAGGTCAGGTCCTTGGTCACAGACAGGTACACTCAGTATTAACACCTACCAGGTTTGTAGCTAACGCTAGTGGCTAGAAACAATCCTGGAAATTCATAGATTTTCATCGTAAGTGACCTAAAATCACGACTGAATCACTCTGGCACATCAACCACGCAAGGGCAGTTTCAGCCCCTGAAGCTGGGGTGTCGGCAGTCTCTGCCTGCTGTGGGCTGCCCTCACCTCTCCATGTTCTGCCGGCCCAGCCCCGGCACTGGGCTCCCAGGACCATGTGGAGGTGAACGGCAGTCCCTGCGACAGTGTGCCACAGCCCTCCCGTGAGACTCACTCCCCACTCTCTGGATGGAAACGGGCACAAAAAGGGTTAAGACCTCCGCCGAAGTGGGGCTCCTGTCTGACCCCACACCCACTGAGCACGCGGCCATCCGCCCCACAACTCCTGCCAGGACCATCACATCAACTTGTTTTATTGAGTAATAAGCAAACAAACATGAGAGATGGGTGGGGAGGGTCTGAAAGGGTTTTCTTTCGAAATAGTAATTTTTAAATATCAAGTAACTGTTATCACTTCAAGCTGCCAGACTGCAGCAGCCCCTGGGGGTGTGGGGGTGCTTCATGTTCCCGATGTGCAGAGCTGGCGGGGCCGCAAACTCTCCCCTCCCCCAACACATGTACAACGTCAAGGGGGGCCAATCCCATCTGGTGCTCTGAGAACCACTGCTCATTTCATAACTTCCCCAAATCATACGCACAACTGCAAGAGGAAATAAACAGAAAACGCTCGGCATAAATAAGCCACAAGATGATTCGTCTTGCAGTCAATCCAGCATTAGGGCTAATTCCGTCTTTCAGACATTTTATGGAAAACAGCTGTGAGGCTCTCTTTGCAGAAGCCCACACGGTCTCAGGACCCGCGGGCACAGAACCGGACAGGCAGGAGCTGCTCTGGGCCGGGCAGCGGGACACAACCGCCTTCACTTCCTGCCGCTCTGCACACACGTCACAATGTCCGGCAGGAGGTGGTTTCTGTTGTCCTTGGTGACCTGTGGGAAGAAGAGGCCTTCAGAGTCCTTCCTCACGTCGCTCGTCTGACAGGTAACATTCTAGAAGAGCCCGGGAGGCCGGAGGGGTGAGGGATGCTCTAAAGGACGACCCAGGCGTGAGCCAGGCGCGCGGCGTGAGCTCTGAAACAGGACAGGTCTGCTCAAGTCCCACCACCAGCCTCGGCAGTGAGGGCGGCTCACTGAGGGAGTTTAATTACGAAAAGGCCTAGGAATTAAGCCCCGTGCAAGGCTCTGCAACAGACACGGCCCACCTGTGAGCAGACCAGACCAGAGGCACTGCCCACGTGAAGCCAGACCTGGACCACAGGTGGGCCCGCTGGGAGCAGCCAGCACCCTGGCCACGTCTCCCCAGGTTCCGGATGCCCCGAAGTTCAGTCACCCACTCAGCTCTCCAGGAACTTAGCAAACCTGAGTGTTGCCAGGAGCCCTTGACAGGAGTCCGGCCACAGCTGAAGGATGAGGAAGCAGAAGCCCAGAGAAACCGGGGATTTCCCTGCAGTCTGGGCTAGTGGGGGACACAGTGCAGACTGAACTCAGGTCTCTGGACCCCAATGTGCCTGCTCACTAATTGATACCATTACAAACCCAAAAGAAACAGTTTATTCAAGCTTCACTCGACCCACTTTTTTCTAGTCTCATCCACAGTCCCGTGAAGACCACACCAGCATTCGGACTGCGCCAGGGCTGGAGGGTGGGCGGCGGCCCCACAGAGGGCACAGCCATCACTCTCCCACCTCCAGTGCCTCCGTTTGGCCCACACAACAGTCACCCCTTCAGCACCGATGGGGTGCCAGCCAGAAATGAGACAAGGTGCTGAGAAGGAGAAAACTCAGATAAGACTGGACCTCATGGAGCTTGCAGCACAGAACAGAGACAGGCACAGACAACAGGAGGAACGAACGAACAAACGGATGGATGGATGAATGAGTGAACGAACAGATGAATGAATGGATGAATGACTGATGAACGAACACATGGATGGATGGATGGATGGATGGATGGATGGATGGATGGCTAGATGAGCAGATGAATGAACGAACAAATAGACAGTGAGACCTGTGAGAGGGGAGAGGGACACTGGAGCAGGGGTGGCGGTCAGGAAAGGCTTCCTCAGGCAGTCGTGCCTGCCTTAGTCTTCACAGGTGCACAGTGATAGGACAGATAGGACCTCCGACAGGAGGACCTGAGAGCAGCTGGAGGGCCTGAGAGCAGCTGGAGGGCCTGAGAGCAGCTGGAGGGCCTGAGAGCAGCTGGGGGACCTGAGAGCAGCTGGGGGACGTGAGTGCAGCTGGGGGACCTGAGGGCAGCTGGAGGGCCTGAGTGCAGCTGGGGGACCTGAGAGCAGCTGGAGGGCCTGAGAGCAGCTGGGGGACCTGAGAGCAGCTGGGGGACCTGAGTGCAGCTGGGGGACCTGAGGGCAGCTGGAGGGCCTGAGTGCAGCTGGGGGACCTGAGAGCAGCTGGAGGACCTGAGTGCAGCTGGGGGACCTGAGTGCAGCTGGGGGACCTGAGTGCAGCTGGAGGACCTGAGTGCAGCTGGAGGACCTGAGTGCAGCTGGGGGACCTGAGTGCAGCTGGGGGACCTGAGAGCAGCTGGGGGACCTGAGAGCAGCTGGGGGACCTGAGTGCAGCTGGGGGACCTGAGTGCAGCTGGGGGACCTGAGAGCAGCTGGGGGACCTGAGTGCAGCTGGAGGACCTGAGTGCAGCTGGGGGACCTGAGTGCAGCTGGGGGACCTGAGAGCAGCTGGGGGACCTGAGAGCAGCTGGGGGACCTGAGTGCAGCTGGGGGACCTGAGAGCAGCTGGGGGACCTGAGGGCAGCTGGAGGGCCTGAGAGCAGCTGGAGGGCCTGAGTGCAGCTGGGGGACCTGAGAGCAGCTGGAGGGCCTGAGAGCATCTGGGGGACCTGAGGGCAGCTGGGGGACCTGAGAGCAGCTGGGGGACCTGAGGGCAGCTGGGGGACCTGAGGGCAGCTGGGGGACCTGAGGGCAGCTGGGGGACCTGAGTGCAGCTGGAGGACCTGAGAGCAGCTGGGGGACCTGAGTGCAGCTGGGGGACCTGAGTGCAGCTGGGGGACCTGAGTGCAGCTGGGGGACCTGAGTGCAGCTGGGGGACCTGAGAGCAGCTGGGGGACCTGAGTGCAGCTGGGGGACCTGAGTGCAGCTGGGGGACCTGAGAGCAGCTGGGGGACCTGAGAGCAGCTGGGGGACCTGAGTGCAGCTGGGGGACCTGAGGGCAGCTGGGGGACCTGAGGGCAGCTGGAGGACCTGAGTGCAGCTGGAGGACCTGAGAGCAGCTGGGGGACCTGAGTGCAGCGAGTGCAGCTGGGGAACCTGAGAGCAGCTGGGGGACCTGAGAGCAGCTGGGGGACCTGAGCGGGTTCAGTGGGGGTCGTAGGAGTGATGCACCTGGTCCCCGCAGACCGCACACCCAGTATCTAAACGAGGGCCTGGCACACAGGAGGTGCCAACAGATGTGATGAGGAGCAGCACAGAGGACTTCATCCCTCTGGGTCCCCCAGCATCCAGACCACACAGTCTGAGAACAGTGCCCAGCCAAGGAGTGAGAGCTGGACCCAGGAGAACTTCCCGAGGATCTGGACCCTGAATGCAGTGAGCTGAGCAGCAAACACTGGGGCTGAGCCCCTAACAGCAGTGCCTAAGGACACTGTCCCCTGGTCCCTGCCAGGTTGCTCCCAGGGCAGTTCTGGCTCCACTGATGAGGGCCATAGGCTCTACCTTCACTGTTCTGCCAGGCTGGTTGTTGCTATTTTCCCTTAAATCAACCCAAATCCATTCCTGCTGTCCGCACTCCAGGACAGACCTACAGGAACAGGGGGAGGCAGCGGGCATCCGCGGTGGGAGCTGTGGCTTCAGCAACAACGGGGAGGAAGGACTGGTGTCGTGCTCGGGGCCTTCAAGTCCCCATTCTCCCCGGTGTCCCTGGGAGTCACAGGGGGTCTGCTGCAGAGTCTGCGTTTCCTGTGCACCTCCAGAGGAAGGGCATCGAAGAGGAGGGGCATCTGGGGCCCCGTTCTCTACTGCACACGTCTGATCATCTCCTTTACAGACGTCAGAGCTGGGAGGGGGGGAGGGGGGATGAAGGGGAGAGGGGGTAAGGGGGAAGAATAAAACAGAAATGGGGGGCGAAGGAGGAGAAGAAAGGGAAGACGACGCTTCATCCAGGTGGGAAGAATGATGAATGACCTGTAACTTTGCAAAGGTGGGAGATGAGGAGGGGCAGGTACAGTAAATCCTCACTGAACATCACCAATAGGTTCGGCAACTGTAAGCAGAAGCACATCTACGGAAGCCGATTTCAGCAGAGGCTAGTTGATGAAAACAAGGTTAATGTCCTGGGCATCTCATCAACGCTACAAGGCAACGAGCCCGACGTCACAGCTCTGTGCCGGTCGGTTCTGGTGCGGCCCAACTGCAGATGAGCGGTGGGATAAGACGCACAAGGGGAGCGAATCCACGTGCAGCGAGGGTGGGGAGGCAGTGCGGGTTTGTCCTGGGACCATTCCTAAGGCTTCGTATCTATTCTTGAAATCCCTAAACCCTTTGACAGACAGACAGGGGGCATGTGAAGGGAAGGGCGAGAAGGCAGGAAATCCCACTGCCCAAGATAAGGTTCCCAAATGGAGGCTGTGAGGGGCGTAGCCAAGGCCTGCAGAGAAGCTGGACGTGGCAGGCACGAGGCTGCAGAGAAAACAGAGTTCAAGCTGCACAGCACACGGGCACTTCAGGGAAATGCCGTGGCCTACCCACCACAGTCACCCGGCACGCTTCATGGCAGGCCCACGCGGTGAAGGAGGCTCGCGGGGCCGTCCCGTTTCCCACAAGCACAAGCTAAGGCACAGGAGACAAGAGCAGTTCAAGGACCGATGCACAAAGGCCCGGTCCGTCCCCAGGTACCTGACGGCATCCCTGCCCCACAGACCCCTCCCTCCCTCCCTTAGGAGATGCTGGGAGCTAAGGTGCTACGCAGGGGGGGTGCTGGCCGCTCCTAAACTGCAGAGAATGCTCTCTAAGCCTTGGTTGGGTACAAAAAGAATAAAAATTAAAACCGGGAAAGACACATTTTGAGAACATTTTATCATTAAAAATGAACAGAATGCAAAAACTACATTCGCGTCCTGCCCGCCTTCGCGTGCCCTGAGTTCTGAGAACGATGCAGTAGACATCCGCACGACTGTCCACTGAGCTCAGCTCTCAGGCTCCTGGCCCGCCAAGGACAGACGCCCCTGCTCACACCAGCACAGCACCCTCTGTCAACGTCAGGGGCCCTATCCCCGAGGCAGGGTCCTCTCTGTTTCTTATTCAACACCAGGTTTTGGGCTGCAGGTTTTCCTGAGAGGCCAGTTAGAAGAGGGAACCAGGCTGGGAACAGGCGGGAGGCGAGGAAGACTGCGGAAGGAACCAGGGTGCCACCCTCCCTCCTCCCTCCTGCACTGGGGCGGCGGAGGACAGGACGTTGGGGACAGTGGAGCCCTCTGACCTGCCCTGCAGGGCCAGGACCTTCAGCTCCGGGGAACTGTGCTGTGTCTCATCCCCCCTGTGTCCAGCACAAGGTGGGTGCTGGGGAGGGTCTCTGAAATACAGCTGAGTAGTTAAATAAAAATTACAAAGATGCTGACCATCTTGAGTGCCCAGGTTGCTCTGTGCCTCCTGGGGCCACAGAAGCGCCTAGGGATTAATAGCAACTTGAGCACCATAACATGAGCAAAGCTGTGACCACCTAGGCAGGGGACAGGGAAAAGTGCCTTTCAGTATCTGTGTGCAAGAAAGCAAAGCAAAACCACATCCATCTCCTTGTGACCGTATGGGAAGAACCCTGAATCTACTTTCTGCCTGTCTCTGAGTCTTCCTGTTTTGGACAGGTCATACAGTGGAATCACACAACACGTCACCTCTGAGACAGCCTTCGCCCACGTCACAGTGTGGCGCCGACTGGCCGAGCTGCAGTGTGCGCCCCTGC